GCTCTCAATGGAACCACCATCTCCAAATGCAACAGTCATATATACCTAGATCAAGAAATCAACATGATGAATGACCTGGCACCTGAGTTGTGCAGGAGGAAGAGAGCGACTTGGAATGCCTTCAAGAGCGTTGAAATAACTAAGAGGACAAAGACCCTCCCGCTATGAGCACATCTTTTCGATTTCACTGTTCTTCCTGCATTAACATATGCCGCAGAGACCTGGGCCCTACAAAAACAGGATGAGAACGCTCTTCGGATCTCTCAAAGAGGAATCGAAAGAGCTATGCTTGGAATATCACGATTCACTCAAATGAGAGCTAGAATCCGGAGTTCTGATCTATGTCAACGCTCAAGAATCAGGGACACTGTCTCATTTGCCAAGGCATTAAAAATCAGATGGGCTGGAAACGTAATGAGGTTTACAGACAATGCTGGACTAGAGCCATTGCTGACTGGATTCCACAAGACGTCAAAAGATCGCATGAACGCCCACCTACAAGATGGTCAGACTTCTTCGTCTAGACCCTGAATGATCGGTTTGAGGCTCTGCATGTTCCTAGAACGAACAGATGCCATTGGGCTACGCTAGCACACAACAGGGATAAATGGAGATGTTACTGGCACCCGCTTGAGTAAATCGTTGAATAACGGGGGATCAAGTGATCAAGTGACACTCATATTCTGGAATATTTAAAAGATAGGAAAAATGAACTAATTCTATATATAGTAATATGGTGTGCAAATCTCACAGGAATAATTGGAATGAAAGAAACCAGATACCAAGATCATATAGTGTAAAAAACTCTGATGCAACTAGGAGATGGCCCCGATGGCTTTTCCCCTGGCTGCCCAGGTTCTGGGGGTTCCGGGCCCCCTCCCCCAGCTGGGGCGTCCCGGGCCGAGGGGCAGATGGCAGAGGAGACGAGTGCCAAGCCGTTTGATTGATCAGATGCTGTTTATTCCATTCTCATCCCTGTTCACTCCTGTCTCTCTCTATCCTTCTCTCCCAGCCCCCGATCTGGAACCCCACTTTCCTGACTCTGGCTGTGGATCTTGATCTCAATCTTCACCCCCCAGCCCACTCTTACCATCTCGTTAAATCCCCAAACCATGAGGGGCTGGGCATACACATAGGTGTGGTCACAATCAATAGGGTTAAAGTTCTTCCCCTCAGGGGATGCTGCTTCTAGGACAGATTCTCTTTCAGCAGGAACACCCACCCAAGGGTGGAATACTATGGGTGTGTTTTTCCTCTCCTTGTTCAACAAACATATAGGTAAAGGCCCTCCCGTTGATCGTCGATTTGCTCGAGCGGGCCCAGTAACGTCTCCATTGGAGACTTTGTTGTTACTGTGTCTGGCATATCGAATACTCTCAGTAGCTTGCTGGGCTCTCCGAAAGGGGCGGAGGAATCGAACTCGGGTCGGCCATGTTGGCCGCTTGTAAGGCGAACGCCCTACCCGCTGTGCTATCGCTCCTTAAGCATTCATAATATTAATCATTTTGTATGGACATCTTAAGAGATGCATTAAGATTAATAGAATTGCTCTCATGGAGTCATCCTGATCTCAGACTACATTGCTCAGGCCAGATTAGTCTTTCCAATCCCTAGCAGGGTCCTAATCTCGTTGTTGCTTTTGGATCGATCATGACAGCATTTGTCCATGATCAAGCTCTTAACTTATAGTTAAGAATTGTGGCACTTTGGCCAGGCCTATCCCGATGCCAGGGTAGCACATAGCTTACTGCTTGCCCTGGTTCCATCCAGTCCCTCGTCGGGACTCTGCTTTTGGTGGTGCTAGGATGTGAGGGCAACTGAGGCTTAAGTTGAGAAAGCAGATACCTAGGAATGAATAATATTCAAAGCCAGTTAAATCCCAAGTTACAAAAGCATCATATTAATTGTCTTCTTGTGTCTATACAAAAGGACATTGCTTTAAAGTAAACTATTCAAAAGACATAAGGAGAGGAGAAAGGCAATATTAACTTATAATACAAGTTCAGTGTCCCAGAAAGATCTGATCTTACAAATTAACAGAATCTGATTAGGGGGAAAAGCTGATTAACTGTTTAGGGAAAAGAGCATAGAGAAGTAGTTGCAGATAAACAAAAGAATGGGAGTGAATCAGGAGCACTTTGATGGATGTGACCCGATAAACCTAAGCTACTTTTGGTAAGGGAGAATAGACAAAGCAATGTTATCCTACAATATAGTACATGTTTCTACTACTGGAACTTTATAAAAAGTGACAGCACCTACTTATTTATGATGATTAAAGTCTGAATAATAGCCTAAGATTCTGAGGGTTGTTAATAACGGAATGGGCACAAGGAAGACTTCTATAGTACTTTTAGCTCTCATATCTTTATGTGGGTATGTCTTTACTGTATAAAAATTCACCATTTTTACATTTATATGTAAAATTATTAAATTAGCACAGTAAGTAGGGCGTTTGCCTTACATGCAGCTGTCCTGGTCGACCCGAGTTCGATTCCTCCGCACCTTTTGGAGAGCCCGGCAAGCTACCGAGAGTATCTCGCCCGCACGGCAAAGCCTGGCAAGCTCCCTGTGACGTATTCGATATGCCAAACACAGTAACAACAAGTCTTAAAATGTTAGTGGGCCCGCTCGAGCAAATTGATGAACAGTGGGATGACAGTGACAGTGACAGTGATTAAATACATGTATAAAATCAAAATATATTAATATGCATAAACTTTTATTTATATTAAGATGCCTTATAGCTGAATGAAAATTTTATATAATTAAATTTATGCACTGTAGCACTGTCCTCCCATTGTTCATCAGTTTGCCCAAGTGAGCACCAGTAACATCTCACAACAAATTATGAAACTTGTTCCTGTTTTTAACATTTCAAATATGTCATGGGTAGCTTGCCAGCACTTGCCGTGCGGGCGAGATACTCTTTATAGCATGCCAGGCTCTCCGAGAGAAGCGGAGAAATTGAACCCGGGTCAGCTGTGCGCAAGGCAAACGCCCTACCCGCTGTTCCCAATTAAATTTATATGTAATTAAAATATTATATTAATATACATAAACTTTTATTTATATTAAGATGCCTTAATGTCTATAGGTGAATGAAATTTGAGGAAATCGCAGCATTTATTTACAGTGTAATATTTTTCTGCCTTTAGAAAGAATAGAATCTTGACACATACAAAATAGGTGAATCTTGAAGACATTATGCTAGTGCAGTTTTAAGACAGTCACTGATATTGATTTATTCCTCATATATGAAGTATTTGTACATCGATTTGCTTGAGCAGGCACCAGTAACGTCTCCACTGTGAGACTTGTTACTGTTTTTGGCATATTGAATACGCCATGGGGAGCTTGCCAGGCTCTGCTGTGAGGGCAGGATACTCTCAGTAGCTTGCCAGGCTCTCCGAGAGGGAAAGAGGAATCGAACCTGGGTTGGCTGTGTGCAAGGCAAGTGCCCTACCTGTTGTGCTATCGCTCCAGCCCTGAGCAGAGCTCTGGCAGCTGAAGACCTCAAACCAGCCACAACCATGCCTGAGACCATTCTCCACATGCATGAAGGTACCAGCAGAGAAACAAAGGCATGCAGGTCCCGGGGCTGAGATCTCCAAGCCTGCTCGGATCGGCGCTGAGCATCCTCCACCCAGATCCTTCATCTTCCAGTAGGCAGGGCTCACACCCACCAACTGACCCCCAGCACCGTGTAATGCCATCAAAGGCCAAGACCAGAGACTATAAAACCCAGCTCCTGGAAGAGAACACCACAGAGTCTCCTGCCCCCGTGCCTGGCTGTCCTCGCCAGAGCCCCTTGGAGGGGGTGGGTTGAGTTTCCCTCTCCACTCCGAGCAGAGTTCTGGCAGCCGAAGACCTCCAGAACCAGCCACAACCATGTGAGACCACTCTCCACACGATGAAGGTACCAGCAAAGGAACAAAGGCATGCGGGTCCTGGGGCTGAGATCTCCAAGCCTGCTCGGATCGGGGCTGAGCATCCTCCACTCAGATCCTCCATCTTCCAGTAGGCAGGGGTCACACCCACCAACTGACCCCCAGCACCGTGTAATCCCATCAACAGCCAAGACCCAGAGACTATAAAATCCAGCTCCCGGAAGCTCACAGCTGTGTGACATCTTATTATCTCATTCTTACTTTGGACAACCTGACAGGCTACCAAATGTAACCTGCCCACACGGCAGAGTCTGGCAAACTTCCCGTGGCATACCCAATATGCCAGATACCAGTAACAATGATGGATCTCATTCTCCTAACCTGAAAGAGCCTTGAATATGGAACTTTTTAACATCTCAGGGCTAGGACGAAGGAGACGTTACTGGTGCCTGCTCGAGGCAATTGACAAACAACAGGATGATCGTGATCATGATCATAATATGAAGTATTTATTGTAATCAAATTCATAGAGACACAAAGTAGAATTGTGATTATAAAGTAGAATTGTGATTGTAAAGGTTGATGAGAGGCAGGGTATGAAAGTCGGGATATGAAAAATTCTGATAGCTGTGAGTGCACTCTATATTACTTAATTATTAAAAATGGAGGGACAGAACAGAGATAAAGTGCTTGCCTTGCATGCAGAACCCAGTATGATCTCCAGTAACCAAGCACCTCCAAGAGTGACCCGTAAGCACAGAGAGAAGTATGTCTTGAACACTTACTAAGTGTGGCCACATCAAATGGTCTGAATCATAAATTTTGTTACTTTATGTCATGTGTATTTTGCCCCAATAAATAAAGAAGCCAAATAGAGGGAGTTGAGTTACAGTGCAAGTATAATATATAGTAATGCTCTTGTTTCGCATGCTTCTGACCCTAGTTCAATCCCTGGAACTGCCTATGATCCCCTGAGTACCACCAGGAGTGATTCCTGGCACAGAGCTAGGAGTGAGCCCTGAGCCCTGTAGGGCCCAGCCCCTCACTCCAATGTTTGCTAATTGGATTTGTGGTTTAGAATATCTTGTCTGTTCTTCAATTCTTTTTTAGGATGCAACAGTAGAATGAAACTCAGTGGTCGACCATATAGACACATGGGAGTTCTTGGAACTTCAAAACTCTATGACATTCGGAAAACGATCTTTACCTTCACTCCACAGGTGAGTGTTATTAGCTTTAATTTCATTGGGATAGATAGAAATAAGGGGAAAACATTACAAAATAAAACATTTACTAAAGTTAGAAAAATGTAATAGTCCCAGAGACTTTACATATATTAAATTATTCAGTAAATATTTGTTGAGTTGAGTTCAGTTAAACTTACACTGAAGACCTAGCTATGCCAAGTGATTGTGGCTACCAAGAGTATTTTGAGTGTTGAAAAATAGTGACTAGGAATTTCACAAATGTTGAAGTACTTTACAGGCAGAGCAATAATACAGTGGGTAGGGCTTTGCCTTGCACACAAGCCTACCCTGGTTTAATTGCTGGCATCCCATCTGCCCTCTGAGCACCACCAGGAGTAATTCCTGAGTGCAAAAGTAAAAAGGTAAAGGCCCTCCCGTTGATCATCGATTTGCTCGAGCGGGCCCAGTAACTTCTCCATTGGAGACTTTGTTGTTACTGTGTTTGGCATATCGAATACGTCACAGGGAGCTTGCCAGGCTCTGCCGTGCGGGCGAGATACTCTCGGTAGCTTGCCGGGCTCTCCGAGAGGGGCGGAGGAATCGAACTCGGGTCGGCCATGTTGGCTGCGTGCAAGGCAAACGCCCTACCGCTGTGCTATTGCTCCAGCCCTGAGTGCAAAGCCAGGAGTAATCCCTGAGCATTTCTGGGTGTGGCCCCTAAACAAACAGAAAAACAGAACAAAACAAACAAATGTGAAGTGCTTTAAAAAAATGACTGCTTTCTTTTAAAAGTTACAAGTAAAACTACTTGTTTATACATAAAATATAGTCTTTTATTCATAAATTAATAATTTTGGGGTGGAAGCCCCTTTTGCCTGCCTAGAGAGGTTAGGTATAATCTTCTAAACAAAAATGTTTGTTCCGTTTTAGCCATGATAATACACATTGTTAGCTTGATGTTAGCCATATTACAATAGAAAGTCTGATTATATGTATATATGAGGGGGATCTATTTTCTGAAATTAAAGAACTGTTTTCAACAGCAGTAGTATAGCTGATGGAGAGACGATAGGGTAATTGATCAGAAATTCTATTTATGACTTCTCCATTTGCTAGACATGTGACTTTGCTAAATAACTTAGTGCCTCTTGATCTTATTTTCTTTATCTGTTAAAAGAAGAAAAAATCCTCACTGGTTTGTTATAGTACTGAATAAAATGTACGTGAAAACACTTTGTAAATTGTGGAAAAATGAATATTATCACATTTACCTTTGGACCAGCAGATACTTTGGAAACAATTAAGCATCAATTTGGGAGATATTTTATATCCATTTGTTAATGAGTATTTAAAAATATTTCTGATAATTGTGAGGGTAAATTATTCTGTGCTATTTTTCTTTTTCTAAGTTTATAGATCAGCAACAGTTCTACCTGGCTCTGGACAACAAGATGATAGTGGAAATGCTTAGAACTGACCTCTCCTACCTTTGTAGCCGCTGGAGGATGACAGGCCAGCCCACCATTACCTTCCCCATCTCACACACCATGCTTGGTAAGGCTATATAAGGCAATATGAATAAGTTTTTGGAATAAGTTATGTTTAGCCCTTCAAAATCTTAGAGCCACTGAAGAGATAATTTGTTCTTTCATCATTTATTAGTTCCTATTTTGTGCCAGTTAGTTTTCTAAGCATTTAAAACAAAATGGGTGTAAGTAACCCAGATGAAATTATGGCATTAAATAGTGTTTTAAAAATAATTATGTGATGATTGCCACTCAATGCCTCTTTTACAAACCACAGCACCCAAAAGGAGAGAGAGAACAATGGGGAATGCCCTGCCACAGAGGCAAGGTGGGATGGGGGGACGGGGGTTGGAAGGGATACTGGGATCAGTGGTGGTGGAGAATGGGCACTGGTGGAAGGATGGGTATTTTATCATTGTATAACTGAAACCCAAGCACAAAAATTTGTAAATCTACAACTGTACCTCATGGTGTTTCACTAATAAAAATATAAATAATAAATAATCGTGTGATAAACCAACACATCGGCATATTTCAGCTATTTTGGAACCTATAATTTTTTATTATATTTATTTGTCTATTTAATTTTTTAAATTTTTAAATGAGTCACCATGAGGCACAGTTACAGACTTACAAACTTTCATGCTTACATTTCAGTCATACAATGATTAAGTACCCATCCCTTCACCATCGCCCATTCTCCACCACCAATGATCCAGTATCCCTCCCACCACCCCCACCTCATCCCCCCCCACCCCACCTCTGTGTCAGGGCATTCCCTTTTGTTCTCTCTCCTTATGGGTTTTGTGTTTGCAATAGAGGTATTGAGTGGCCATCATGTTCAATCTATAGTCTACTTTCAGCTCACATCTCCCATCCTGAACTGGCCCACCAAGCACCCTTTACTTCATGGTCCCTTCTCTATCCTAGCTGCCTTTTTCCCTAGCATATGAGAACCAGCTTCCAAGCTGTGGAGAAATCCTCCTGGTACACATCTCTACTATTCTCAGGTGTAAGTCTCTCATTCTTTTACTTTATATTCCACAAATGAGTGCAGTCCTTCTATGTCTGTCACTCTCTTTCTGATTAATTTCGCTTAGCATGATACTCTCCATGTTGATCCACTTGTATGCAAATTTCATGACTTCATCCTTTCTAACAGCTGCATAGTATTCCATTGTGTAGATGTACCAAAGTTTCTTTAACCAGTCATCTGTTCTTGGGCACTCGGTTTTTTTCCAGATTCTGGCTATTGTAAATAGGGCTGCAGTGAACATACAAGTGCAGATGTCATTTTGACTACATTTTTTGGCATCTCTGGGATATATTACTAGAAGTAGTATTGCTGGGTCAAATGGGAGCTCAATTTCTAATTTTTTGAGAAGTGTTCATACGGTTTTCCAAAAGGGTTGAACCAGTTGGCATTAACACCAACAGTGAAAGAGGGTCCCTTTCTCCCCACATCCTCGCCAACACTGGTTGCTTTTGTCCTTTTGGATGTGTGCCAGTCTCTGTGGTGTGAGATGATATCTCATTGTTATTTTGGTCTGCATCTCCCTGATGATTTGTGATGAAGAGAATTTTTTCATGTGCCTTTTAGCCATTCGGATTTCTTCTTTGAGAAATTTCTGTTCATTTTATCACTTCATTTTATGATGGGGTTGGATATTTTCCTCTTGTTTAGTTCAACCAGTGCCTTGTATATCCTTGATATCAACCCCTTATCAGATGGGTATTGGGTGAATATCCTTTCTCATTCTGTAGATTGTTTTTGTGTTCTGGGAACCTATAATTTTTTTAAGTGCAATAACTTGGTAGGCACTACTTCAGATACGGTTTTTCTGGGTCATGTTGCAAAAACTGTATTAACTCGGTTTAGTTTCAAGACAGTATATTCTGCATCTGTCTTACTCCAGTGGAGTATCAAGATTTTATAGATAAGTTACCAGACTTTGTCCAAGGCTTATCTAACTTTAGTCATAAAATCTCACAGTCTAAGATGAACAAGTTTTTGGTTCATCATTTCTTTATTGTTTGGGTTTCCTAACATTTCTTACTTGAAACTTTGTGGAAGGCTTAATTTTCTCATTTCCTGGAGTACTAAAATCTGAAGCACTGCTTACTTTCTGAATCTCTGATATTGCAAAGTATGCAATTGTTTTTTTTTTTTTTGATTACAGATCACCCTATTTCATTTTAAATGATTCAAAGTCCTGACAGACTATTAAGAATTTTGGTCATGACTCTAAAAGTACTTCAAAGGCACAGTAATTGAAAAAGTAGGATAGTCTTTTTTAATTTTGTCTTCCTTCTTTAAGACAACTAACATGTACCCATTTAAAACTGTTATGTTCCTAAGGCGGGCTGGAGCGATAGCACAGCGGGTAGGGCGTCTGCCTTGCACGCAGCCAACATGGCCGACCCGAGTTCGATTCCTCTGCCCCTCTCGGAGAGCCCGGCAAGCTACCGAGAGTATTCGGTATGCCAGACACAGTAACAACAAAGTTTCCAATGGAGACGTTACTGGGCCCGCTCGAGCAAATCGATGATCAACGGGAGGGCCTTTACTTTACTTTACTTTATGTTCCTAAGGTGTGAAAGCTAGTATATAAGAATAACGCAATTGAAGATACTACATAAAGGGACACTAAAACACTGGAATACGATTTTATAGTGAAGGTGATCAAATTGTGAAAAACAATTTCTTGACTGATGAAGGATTTATTTATACAGGCTTTTAAAGGATAGATAATAATTAGGATGAGAAGGAAAGAATGGACAACACTTTATTTTTTTTACTTTTTATTATTTTTATTAGAAGAACAACTGAATTAGTTTATACTGGATGTAATAAGAATGGGATTTTCTTGTTTTTCCCTTTAATTTTTTTTATTAGTGAAACACCATGAGGTACAGTTATAGACTTACAAACTTTTGTGCTTGGCTTTCAGTTGTACAATGATCAAGTACCCATCCCTCCACCAGCGCCCATCCTCCACCACCGCCAGTCCCAGCATCCCTCCCACCCCCAGTCCTCCCATCCCACCCTGCCTTTGTGGCAGGGCATTCCCTTTTGTTCTCTCTCTCTCCTTTTGGATCCTGTGGTTTGCAAGAGTGTCAATCATGTTTGGTCTGTAGTCTACTTTCAGCATGCTTCTCCCATCCTGGGAGGATCCTCCCAACACCCTTTATTTGGTGCATCCTTCTCTATCTGAGCTTCCTTTTCCCCTAGCACGTGTGGCTGGCCTCCAAGTCATGGAGCAAAATTCCTGGTACTAATCTCAGCCACTCCTGGGTGTTAGTCTTCCATTTTGTTACTTTATGTTCCCCAGATGAATACAATATTTCTGTGTCTATCCCATTCTTTCTGACTCATTTAGCTTAACATGGTACTTTCCATATTGTACCACTTGTATGTAAATTTCATGACTTCATCTTTTCTAACAGCTACATAGTACTTCATTGTGTAAGAAGTTTCTTTAACCAGTCATCTGTTCTTGGGCACTCAGGTTTTTTTCAGATTCTGGCTATTGTAAAGAGTGCTGCAATGAACAAACAAGTACAGATTTCACTTCAACTATACTTTTTTTTCTCTCTGGGATATATTCCCAGGAATGGTATTGCTGGGTCAAATGGGAGATCAAATTCTAATTTTTTGAGAATTGTCCATACTGTTTTCCAAAAGGGTTGGACCAGTCAGCATTCCCACCAGCAGTGAAGGAGGGTCCCTTTCTCGCCACATCCGCGCAAGCACAGGTTGCTTTTGTTCTTTTGAATGTGGGCCAGTCTCTGTGGTGTGAAATGGTATCTCATTGTTGTTTGGATCTGCATCTCCCTGGTGATTAGTAATGTAGAGCATTTTCTCATGTGCCTTTTAGCCAAGAATGCACAACACTTTAGGTGGGAGACAACACGTTGAGTGACTCCTGGAGGCAGGGGTAATGTCCTTTGTCCTGTTTCTTATAGCTGGTCCAGATTACGATATCCCTGCACCCATCTGCTTGTCTCCAGTTTTTTTCAGCCTTGTCTTGTACCTAATGCATTCTCTGCCAGTGTACACATTCCTGGTCTGAAAATTGAAGCTGGGGTCCTGTAATCTGTATCTTCTTACTGGGACTTGCTGTTTTGTAATCTGTTGTTGTGTCTCTGAAGGGCCATACCCCATAGGCTTCCTGTCATCTTGGCTTTCGTTGGTCTTTGACCATGGCCATATGCTTATGGATGAGAAACTTTTTCTGTCTGCCATTTGTTTTGGTATAAATGGGGTGAGGGACAAAGAGGATTTGACTAGTTTGGGATTTCCTTTTATCTCACTGTCTCCTTTTCCCAACCATCCTTTTATCTGTTTTGACTGGATACCTTTTTGATGAGCAAGATTTAAAATGATCCGGCGCTGGAGCAATATCATAGCGGGTAGGGCGTTTGCCTTGCACGCGGCCGATCCGGTTTCTATTTCCAGCATGCCATATGGTCCCCTGAGCACCGCCAGGGGTAATTCCTGAGTGCACAGCCAGGAGTAATGCCTGTGCATCGCCGGGTGTGAACCAAAAAGCAAAAGAAAAAGAAAAATTAAAATGACCCAATTAAATTAATGAGTTTGCATAGCACTCTTTCCTCCCCTCTACTTCCACTGTATTATTGAGATGAGATACATAGCATGGGAAGATGAAACTAAATATGTATATTGCAATCACCAAATTTTCATATGCAGTTACTTTATAAAAACATTAGTAACACTAGTAATTTTAGTTTGGTTATTTATTGAACATTTTCTGTGTGCCGGGCACTGAAAACCAGTGAATTATTTCTAGAGATCTCCAACAACTCTGTTCAACGAGGTATAGGTTTCTATTTGTAGATTTTTATTTCTAGATGAGGAAGGCAACGCATATTCAAAGTGATAAAGCTAGTGAATGACAAAGCCATGCCTCAAACTAGGTATATCAGTCTGCAAGACATATAGTACCAACAGCAGTATGTTGCGCTTTAAATTTTTAAGTGAAATAGTTTTGCTAAAAGAAATTTACT